AAACACAAACACACACACATCTGAAACACAAACACACACAACTGAAACACACACACACACACATCTGAAACACAAACACACACAACTCATCTTAAACACAAACACACACATCTGAAACACAAACACACACACAACTGAAACACAAACACACACACATCTGAAACACAAACACACACATCTGAAACACAAACACACACACATCTGAAACACAAACACACACACATCTGAAACACAAACACACACATCTGAAACACAAACACACACTCCTGAAACACAAACACACACTCCTGAAACACAAACACACACTGCTGAAACACACTCCTGTCCTGACACACACTGCTGACACACACTCCTGTCCTGACACACACTGCTGACACACTGCGGTTCACCCACAGATCGAGTCCTCCTTCTCTTGTTTCCACCCTTCATGAGAAGTTTTGCTGTGTTGAACACAAAAGAAAACGTTTTGAAGAATGCTGAAACCGGTCACCATTGACATCAATAGTAGGAAATCTAATGTCAGTCAGTGGTGACGGGTTCCAGCATTCTTCAAATCATCTGCTTCAGTGTTGAACAGGAGAATGTGAGTGTAGCAGGATAAAGAGCAGCTGCAGGATGACCGGATCTTCATCTGCTGGAGACTCTGCTCTTCCTCAGGCATGTGATCCGCCACATCACAGACCAGGAAAACACGATTAATGTCAATTATTGTGTGAATGTTTGCTAGTGGCCACACACTTGAAGGTGAATGTTTTGGTTAGTCAGGTGGAGTGTTCAGCAGTGTAATAGTCACCTGAGTAATGTTGAACAGGTTTATAATTGTGCCTCAGTGTCAGGACAGATCCACAGATGACTCTGAAAGTGCTCTTGTGTCCACAGAATATCCCTTTCCCTGTAGTTTAGTGACGCTTTATTCCCGCATGATGAATACACCAGCAGTCAGTCGACAGCTCTGTCTGTAAAGATGTGAAGTCCAGCTGAACTGAGCAGCCCACGCTTCAACATCCAGCCCGAACACAGATCATACACCGCTCAAACATGACCACTTCCCCTTTCCTTCAGCGCACTCCCTGCTCTTTAATAGGTTTAATTAATTATGACATTTATTTTATTCATTTATCAAGACAATTTCAGCTGTTACAGTTCAGGTGCTGAATAGATGAAGACATCAGGGCTGATTCTCAAATCCAAGAATGAAGAGAACAGACTTGTGTTCTTGTGGAGAGCGGTCATGCTAGATCACGAGAACAGAGGACGCGTCCTGTGAGAACCGAGATGCTGCGTTCCTCCTGATGGTCACATGACCTTCACACATCTTTAACCAATAATGATGTAAACATGCCAGCATTAATGCAGCGATCTGTTGTGTTTCCCCTTTACACAATAAACACTCTGCATGAAGACCTGACAAATACACACTGCACAACACACATGTCCAGATTTAATGTGAATTTAGGCAAGTTAACACTCTTAATGTGTTCACTCTTCATCAGATGCTCATGCTGATGTTCATATTTCCCGTCTCATTCAGGGAAACTCCTGAGGTAAATCAGTCATATCTCTGAGCTGCAATAATAAACCCATATACAGAGCTGCGCCTCCCTCCTCCATCCGCAATCACTGCTGGCACCTCCAGAGCGAGATCAGTGCTCGAGTTCTGGACCAGACCATCACCACCATGACTGATCAGCTCTGCTGTTAGCTATACATGTCACCATTGACCTGAGTGTGTGAGTGTGTGAGTGTGTGAGTGAGTGTGTGAGTGTGTGAGTGTGTGTGTGTGTGTGTGAGTGTGTGAGAGTGTGTGAATGTGTGCGTGTGTGTGTCTTACAGCAGGATGGTCTTTGCCGAGTGTTTTCTCCCTGATGGAGAGCGCATCATTCAGCAGGTGAGCCGCCTCCTTATACTTATTCTGATCCC